TGAAACAAGGAAGAGAATGTGTTTCGGGTCGCAGATTGAGACCAATCACAGCGCACCAATAGCCCCCACTTTTGTGAGAAATCTACAGGTCTGTTAGCACAGACGGCTGGGTTAGCACAACAAGCGGCGGAGGTAACCTGAAGCTTCATCGTCTTCGTCACCGGTTACTGCTTACTCAGCGAAACAGCCATCCAAAAGAAAGTCCCGTTCCTCCGCGCTTCCCGGTTCTATCGTTCTATGGTCACGCGATTCACGAGCAAATTCAAATCCATGTATTATCCATATTGGGAGACGCTAGCTCCGTCCCAACAGTGGGCGTGTGTGTGGGGGCAATAGCGGCAGGGGAGCAGAAAGAGAGAGGCCAGCGAGTCCGCTGCTTCAAAATTCCAAAGTCAGTTAGTGCAGCTTTAATTAGTGTTTAACTGTGCCGTATTCATGAGGGTTAATAAATGTGCCTGTATGAAGGGAGACAGCTAAACCATGTGCAGCAGTGCTGTCATTGGAGAGCTACACAACTGTCAATAACTGTGACAAAGAGACACGTGGGAAGCTGAGGCTATAAATGACTTCATAGATTTTATGTCGGAAGTTGACGGTTGATGGATGGACAGGTGAAAACAGGTATGTTAGGATTCCACTTCTATCTCACTTCTTTTGTGAGCAATTTATCTCTAATGCTGTATGTTACTAACAAAAAATGCCATGTTGGGGTTGCATTATCTCCCATAAAACATGTTTGTAGAAAAAAAGAGAAAAGGATGTGAAGAAAAATCCACAGAAGACCTCAGAGTGACTAAACCGACGCACAAAAACCATGAAAGATGAATTTGACGAAGGCTTTATTTTCCATATGGTTTGTTGCGTCCCACCCAGGGAGACTACATCCATCTTTTCAGGGGGCACCCATCCAGAGGTGACGGAGGACTTTGGGGAGCACACTATGCTCACAGAAAACTTACCACTAACAGCTTTTAAGGGTTGACAGGTCCATATTTCAGTCTCTACCATTTATTCATAAGATACTCCAAAACTGACTAAGGCAGGTAAAAAAACAAGATGAATAGCTCGAACGTCTCATTTCCGAGGATGGCTTGAAAGATATCGTATCATAGCTTCCAATCTTAAGATAGAGAGAAAAGGATTTTCAACCAGGCGCCAAGGTCACGGCTAAGGACAGTGGCTCGTTTCTTTCCAATGACGATAAAGCGACTTCATTATTAATAACAGTGGCTTAAATAGACTATAATCTGCAGGCGGTTCTGCTGTTATCAATTTTTTATATTCTTTATTTTTCATTGTTTCAAGGTCTGACAAATCATGAAGGATGACAATGATAATTCAAAACAAAAAATATGCCCTAACTACAGGCAAAAAAATGTTTCACTGCAACCAACAAAAATCAATCAATAAAAAATGCAAACCAAAAGTGGGTGTATGAACAAGACTATCTGACAGACTACATTCTCCTGTTCTCTTGTTATTCCAACGATTCTATCTTGTCACGTGTGAATATATTCATATCAAAACCATGGGAGTTCTATGACACTCATAGTATTTATAGTGGAAACAAATGAGATTGTGAGGTAGACTGTGGAGAGCGTCTTTATGACTATCGGAAAGTTTATTGGATTTGTTTTGACTTGAAGATCCCCACTGGCCTCAAGTGTGGTCTACCAGGACTCCTGCCTGACAGAGCTCTACATCGAGCAAAGTAATGTGGGTGGCATAATTATAACATTAAAGAAACATAACTGAACCATTTACTTCAAGGCAGAGTCAAAGTGAAGCTAGCTGTAAGCTTTCATCTCTCGGGATCTAGACGGTCTGCTGTATAGTTCTATGAAATCATGGTTGTGCTGATGGATTATATCAATTGTACTGTTTCATTGGCCACACAATGGAAAACATTAAGTATGAGTAAAGAGGGGATAACAAGCTCAGGTGGCACAGCCCTCATAGTATGGACTTCATATTTGGAAGAATGTTATATTTTATGTACACTTGGTAGTTGTACTTTAAAATAACAAAAACAGATTTGTGCTGAAAGCTATTTATTGCCTTCAGGATCCTTGTAAGTGCTCAAGATACAGCCATTGAGATCATAAAAAAGTTCAGTGTTCCAGCTGAAGTTCTATCGAGCTTCAGCTCCGCCAATATAGATATGTTATTTGGCACCACCTACATGTGAAAGCCAGATGCTGTCAGACTTCTGAAGCTAAGCAGGGCAAGACCTGGTTGCTACTGCGATGGAAGACCTCTGGGGACACCAGGTGCCACAGTGGGGCGGCTGCAAGACACTTTGCCCACATTGCCTAGAATGAGTTTGGTTTGTGTGTGTGAATGGTTGGTGGTGGTTGGAAGGGCTGATGGCAGACACAGGTTTTCTTGTTTCTGTCAGTATACCCCAGGGGGGCTGTGGCTACAGTAGTAGTTTATCATCACTGTGTACAGAGTGAAGAACACTGCCATGTGAAGCGACTTTGAGTGTCCAAAAAAGCACTGTATAAAACAGAGACATTATTGTGTATAATAATGTAATGCTTAGAACCTCTTTTATCTTTGACTACATCAATATTGCACAGAAATGGTGCTGATGTAGATGGTAAGAGAGTGCAACATTTGTCTTTCAACTTCAGTTTTGCCAAATGTGAATACATGGACATAATCAGGTCATACCTCATTCTAAAGCTTGGCACAAAAATAATACATTCCGGGTTCTCTGTCCCTCTTACTCAAAAGTTTGGACCTAACTTTTAGAGGAGGTTGTAGTCTTGATAAACAAAACCATGCCTCATTGCATTTCCATTGAGCCTGCACTCCAGCCCGCACAGCCACATTTTATAAAGTGGGATCAAATATCAAAGGCCAAATGAGGAGCTGCATCTTTTAAATGAATTCCTCTCACAGGACGGACCTGTCGGAGAGCGATAACACGCAGAGACAGACGTGCACTTAGGCACCCACACGGTGAGAGATGCAGGGATCCACAGCCTTGTCAAGACCACGCTTGTATCCTCGTATTCCAGACCACCATAGGCTAATCCCACCCACTCCCCTCCATGCACACGGACTCGATTGGGAGAGTCAAGTGCTGGTGCCTTGGGTCAAGTTGCACAGCACAAAACAACCACTGAAGTCAATGCTCAATTTTGATGCACAAGATGAAAGTTGGAATTCAGAGCCTGTTACTGAGGATTGGTTTATTGATGCTGTGGGCGACATTTTACACACACACACACTAGCAATAGCCTACGAGCAAAATGCATGAAATACTACACCGGAGTGACAGGACACGGAAGGATGAGGCATTGGAAGTGTCTCAAGTCTTGGATTTATTCATGAGGAATAAGTGCTCTTTCTTGTGTAAGCTACATTCAAAGTCTTGATGTAATACAATATGACAATGTGGTAGTGTTGCTGGTTCCCACCCAGAAGGCCAATTACAGTGAGAGAGCAAGTCCAATTCAAGGGCAATTTAGTTATTGCGATATTGGATTCTAGTCCATCATAAAAAGTGTAGTTTTCAATGGATTCTTCTTGGTCCTTTTGAATCTAACCTATGGGCCTGTTATTATGAGCCATTATTACTATACCCGTTATTGCATAAGACACGAGGAGAGGTTTAAACCATTCAAGTAATTATGAAATCAGAAGAAATATGATATATTGTAGGTTTATTGTTGAATCAATAAACATTCTCTTCATAATGTATTTTTGTGCGACTTAGCTTGTGCAAAACTGCTGTAACAAGAGGTTCAGTCTCATCAAGAAAACTAATTTGTGCAGAAATCACACTAGCTTTGATCAGCTAATAACTATTTGCCTGATCAGCCAGGCCTTTTCACATTCTATTCAAATGCAGAAAAGAATTATTGGAAACCTGTGTGGCTGTGGCCCAGGCTAAATCTAATTGCTTATCATTCTAAAACACACACACAGATGCAGAGACAGAAGTGACCATGATGGCAAATATTTGAATTACCTGGAAGAAAATGCTAAATAAAATAATACTTTTGGGCCATGACACAATATCTTTAAATGGGTAAATTTCCCCCTCAAATTATAGCCTTAAGATGGTTAGAATTGCAATATTGCCCTTTTAGGCATCAAATAACCTTATTGGATAGTTCTTGCCTTAACATTACCATGCCTGAAAAGCCAAAGCCCATTGTGGTTAATGAACAGTTAAAATCTTCTAGTAAAACATTCGCAGAGCTAAAGATTTTTCTTTTATTCCATCCTCCTTTATTCATTATGTATAATAGTTATGGATATATTTTATCTACTGGCCACAAGGGGACCTGTATGTTTTGAACAGACAATTCCTTTTTCACTCAGTAGTTACCTAACCTTTCGGTCCAAACTGCCAAATAGTGACTCATAGGGTTCCAATAAAATCTGTTACTCTTTCTATTGAGACTAACAAAAGCATCATTAATGAAAGAAAATGTTAGTATAGCTCTATGTGGGGTACTTATGTCTAAGGGATTTCATATCCTCTGTCTCCCGACTATTGAAAAGACCTGCAATTTTGAATGTAGTAAAAAGTCTCAGTTGATCAGCGCCTGAGACTGCGGTGGGCGGCACAAAGTCTCAAATATGACAAACAGTTTTAAATTTTTCTTTTGGGTATACATGATCATAAAATCAGTAAGCTTGTTTATCAAAAACAGAAGTATTTTAATATATTCAATACTGTACAAACCAAGAGTCATTTGTCTCCACACGCACTTTGTCCTGCACAAATCCTATAAAAAGCGGAGCAACTTGTTCTGAACGGAACAGGCAAAATGGTATGGATGCTTGAGATGTGAATTTGTGTGTATGAGAATTATACAGGAAAAATACAGTCAATTGGGTCAAAGCGTTTCTGCCACACGGTGACAAATATTCAAGTTGCTGTAAGTATGTCTTAAGAGTATTTAGACCCAAACTGCATGATAGTTTTAGAGTCGCTGACATGAGGAGGAAGAGGGAGAGGAGTTGAGGGACAGAGTGTTTCATGCAGCAGAGCGCCGGCGGATGACGAAGGCCCCTCTCTGCAGCTGTCCCAGGTAGATCCTCATCTTTGTGCTGTCGCTCGTCTTCCTCACCCAGATCTAAACACAAGAAACTTTATTTATCCCTCAGTGGGGAAATTGCAGTGTTATCGTCACTGCATATTGTAGGAACAAAAATATGATATTATACAAATAGTTTACAATGTTAAATAGCTGAGGCATAGGGCTAGAGTTTTAATAGCAGATTGGAAAAGTGGCTTATATAAACAAAACAAAGAAAAGACAGAGTGTCTCTAAGAACAGTGACTTCTGAGAGACTTTTTGGGCCTCGCCTATAAACTAATGTTGCTTCCTGGGAGTTATCTTTTACAAAACACCTAAAACTTTACTAATAGAATGTGTATGACTTGTATGGCTATGAAGTTTTGTAAATATTTTTTTTTTTATTGAATTGACTCTAAAGTTACATTGAAATCTTTTGAAACATCAATAGATCTGCAAAGTGGGCGGAGCTTAGGCATTCAAAAGTAAAATTCTCCATTTAAAAGTGTTGTCCAAACGTCAAAGTTTGAGGACATAACGGTAACCATGATAACAAACTTCCTGTTAAGTGTATTGCTGCTACCATTACGTCGTAACCTTTGGCTAAAATTTGTGGTTTTTAATGTTTGATAATACTCATAATTATACTTTGTTTATTCATGTAGATATGGTGGTCATTACTCCCTAGATAGCTGATCAATCATCTTTCAATCTTTTATAACAATAATTTTAAAAATCCTGATAGGATTTTAATAATTGAGAATTTTACTTCCAGACACTAAGTTCTCCCCACTTCCCAGCTCCCCACGACCTGCCAGGGACTCACCTCATTGGTCCCCACCGAGCTGATCACACAGCTGATCTTTGTATTGTCCTTTGACTCCAGGTAGATGGCCTGGCTCTTGTGGTACCTAAAAGTAGTAACTAAAATCAACATTGGCTCCAACATTAAGGGAATAAATACAACACAATTAAGAGGAAGTAAACAACAATTGAGTTTAATATCTAGACCAGATGAATGCCAACCGCAAGAATATTGAAATTGTGACAATAGAGCATATTATTTACTCTATGCCATTGCTTTGACTCCTGTGGACTAACGGCTACAGCAGTGAAGACACAGATACAACAGTGCAAAGATGTCTGCCCATTGTGCTCATTGGCACAGGCTTGCACCACGGAGGCCGAAGTATTAGCAGAAGTGACGCATTTTTGGTTAACTCTCGTCATCTTCGGTCCAGCGCAGTGGGTGCCCAGTGTTCTACTTACATTAGACCAGCAAAATACAGCAGCGTTTCCAACAAATCACCACTGAACAAGCAGAGTTGGTTGCACAAAAGTGTGGATTTATAGAAAACCAAAAGATTAAAAAAATTACAAAAAAGTTAATGATGACAAAGGAGACCAAAACTTTCATAAAATCCAATCATTGAGGAAGCTATAGGTTCTGTCAGCTTAGAACGAGTGATTGTCGTTAACATTAAGGTCAATGGGAAAATCTCCAAAGGCGGCTACATCCATGCTGTGCTGCCAAGGTAGGTGCCTTTTGAAACTTGTGGCTTTGCTGCCCTCTAGTGGTGTGGGACATCAATAGAAACTCACCATCGTTTGTCGTAGTACAGTTTGCCTTCTTCAATACGGGCTTCATAACGCTGGGAGGGGTTGTCCATGGGAGCAGAGGGGATGTGCTCTGGAGTAGATGGTGAAACTGAAAACAGAGAAGCCTAGAGTTAAATACTGAGTAAACTATGGGGATATACATTGATATAAATATGAAAGAAAACGTACTTGGCCGCTTTGGTGATTTTAACTGTGGAGTCCAAAGGCAGAAGAACATATGAAAATAAATAAAAATCTAGCATTGCTTTTAGTTATGATAATAGACCGTCTGAAATTACCTTATTCAACGTTCTTAGATCCTCCATTATCTGGTCATCTGTTAATAAATAGTTTAACTGCGGTATGAAAAATTAAGGAAAACATGTCACATTTATTTGAGAGTGTAGCTTGACTTTAACTCCATATCAGATTTCTGAAACAGCGGGTGCAAAAAGGATATCAGGTGCCGGTTTCCTCCGTTTGTCTGGTATTGGTACAGGATCATTTGGTCGTCTCCGCAATTTGCGAGTCATGATCGGTTTTACTTCCATGGAGTCTGTTCAAAAGCAAAAGCAGGGGGGAATTATGGAGAGTTGGTACCATTATAACAGCTTATAACTGGGGTACTTTACTTTCAAAATACTAAAAACATTGTAATGAAATCCATCTAATTCATTCCTCTTTCTCAAAACAATTTCACTTTGTTTTCACATACTTTAGATCAGCTTTTTCAGCCAGAAAAGTGAAAAACAGGGCGACCTCCACAACATTGTTTACAAATTCTAAAATATTTTGCTGTGGTCTGATTTGTTCATTACTTTTAGTACCTTTAGTTTAACCAAAAATGATCCTATATCCCAGTTAGGGGATTGAATGCTTTGTCTCACTCAATACAGACGTCAACTCCCACTTCAGTGACCATCTGAAAATGCGTCAGTATTGATGCCAGCTTACCTCCGGTCAGTTCCATTGTTAATTTCTCATTCTCAATCATTTTTTTCTTCTCCTCCAGCTCAGCAATTAAGTTTTCCTTCAGTTCGACCTTTTTATCATCAAACTCCTTTACGGCAGCCTTCTTTTCCTTTATGTAATTCCTCTCCACCTGATCGGTCTACACAAAGTACACACACAGACTGAATTCTTCCATTTGCAAATTAATAAATAAATAACAAATAAAACATTTAGGAAAAAAGGGTATACCTCAAGTTGAAGAAATAAGTCTGAAAATATAGGATTAGGAAAACATTAAAATAGAATAAAATAACGACACACAAACAGTTGTGGCAATTACTCACCTGCATTTCTCAGTCGTTCCTTGTATTGCTGGTCGAGCTTCTTCATTCTCTTCTGATACTCCTGAAGTGTACCTGTCAAAGGTTTGAATTAAAGGGTGCACTTCTCATCCCAAACAAATCATTATTATCAACTATGCACATTTCAGAATGTTTCTTGATTGTGTCGTGTTACCCATTAGAAAATCAAGCGAATGCGCCAACAAATCAAAACATTTCAAATCCCTTCACTAATAAAATACTGTTTTTGTTTTTAAAGGAGAATAATACAAAGCACAACATTTTGTATTCAGCGGTTCTGGCACCAGGCTGGTGATCCCTGCCTTGCATAAACATGGTCCCCTTCAGTGATACTGAGTATTAAGTTAAAAAAACTTTACCTTCTTGTAATTGTTGCAACTGTCTTTTCAGAGATGTGAGTTTGTCCTGGTACATTCTGAAAAAATAAATAAGCGAAAGAGTAAAAAACTAGGTTAAAAGATAAAAATGTTTGTATGTTGAACAAATGTTCAACTACTTACTGCTCTTTGATTTCTACAAAGTCTACATCCTCATCCTGCTTTGCGAGGTCAGTTTCACTGGCATCTTCTGTGTCTGGAAAGTCAAACACAATGGCAGTTGTCAACTACATGAAACACCAAGAACAAGAGACAATTTCCATTTGTGTTTAATCTGGGCTTCAAAAAGCACTCTTCACCAGCACACGCCCAAACTGATCCAGGACATGCGTGGCACAGGGACCAGCCAAACAACGGGAAACAAAGAGTAGATACGGGGTTTTATATTTATAGACCAACGGCTAGCTGAAATATTAATGTCATGCTTGTGTTGTGACAGGAAACGTTGTCATTCTTCCAAAGAAAGCACTGGGGCCAGTGCAGAGGCCAGTGTGCACCATCCATGGTGTGCACCGGCCGGTGTCCCGGCTAACTTCTGCCGGGAAGGAAACATGTCTGGGCAGAAACACAGCAACAGCTCAAGGAGTTACACATACGGGGGTCTCTCCCAGGATGTCTCTGACTGACGCCAAAGAATGGATCATGTAAGTTGAGCTGACACATCAGCTTTCATTTACGGTTAGCACTGGAGTGCTAGCCTTATTTAGCACAGCCACAGTTCAGAAAGTAACTCGGAAGCATATATCTCGCACGATTTGCCAAATAATGCCAAAAAACAATCAAGTTATTTGGTATGCCTTATACATAGTCGTGAATACAACAAACCTTGAAGTGCTGTCATGCTAACGCTGTCCCGTCTGTGGCCCTCGTCAGTGTTCCCGTCTCAGCTCAGTGTGAAGAGGGCAGTGCAGTGGACACGGCTCCTCTGACACGGCTCCTCTGACACGGCTCCTCTGACACGGCTCCTCTGACACGGCTCCTCTGACACGGCTCTGCTGCTCAGAGCCGCCTTAGCTCCATGGCTAACTACATAACCTCTCATAGTTTAACACGAACTATGTACTGATCTCTAGACTCAGGTATAGTTACATTTAACACCTCAAATCATTTTTTTTGTACGTGATAACCTGTCACGTTACGCTAATTTAAGTTACAAAGTGTTTGATGGAATTTTAGGTTATTATACAAATAGCACAGACAACCACACGTCAAATAAGGCAGAACATGCGCATTTATAACATGCCAATAAATAAATGTGAAACTCTGTGCTGTGGGTTTACTCTGCTCTTGAGCAGGACACAGTGATGTGGATTGTGGACCATTTGTTTTGCAATCCGCTAGCTAGCCCCCCGAGTGTGACTGACTGATGTTGTGTGCGCTTTAACTGCAGACAGACATCTATGCACACGGATTAGCATTACACTAAACTTGATTGCAATGTATTAAAGCACAAATCAAATGGTACACATCTTAACAGCCTAGATTAGTTCGGCAATTGATACATCGGTGGTGCATTTAGCGTATTATTCCAACGCGCGGGCTGCTGTTTGGTCACTTCTTCATACGCACCTTCTTCTGAATCTCGCCCTCTAAAACTGCGATCGTCGTCTTCGTCCACGCTATCGAGGTCTTCTTCGTCGTTGTAATAGTCAACCATCGGTGATAATATAGTTGAAGCCATTTCCACTTCGAAAACGTAAACAAACACACAATAAACAATCGATTTGTGTTTTGCTCCTTGGAACAGCGCCTACAACTGGAAGGACCCCGCGGTGGTCTTAGTCGGCTGTCAATATGCCCGTAGCTAATGTCATTCAAACACGAAAATCTATTCCAATGCACTTTTTGATATGCTTTTTATGCTTTTATGTATGCATTGAAATGTTTAGATTTAACTGTGTAATTTATCATTCTTTAAGCTATAATTTGTAAATACACTTCTTACATATGTACGCATATATCATGGATGCATGGTGTGTACGTACAGTATGTGTGCGTTTATAAAAGTTATTATATCCTGAACCAACTAATTCTCCCGTTTTTTCTCTTTCCCTGTATTGTTTTCCCCCATTATTTACATACACATTTACATATTCCTTATATATACACAATACATACAAATGTACACATGAAATAATATTAATATATTTTAAAAACTCTATAATATAAATTTTCAAATGTAATTAATGGCCTAGAAGTTGGAGTAATTATTTCGCGGTGTGAGTTAAACATTATCAGCAAAGCATACACTGCATAAAGACATTCCTGACATGAGCGGCAGATGGCAGCATTGCAGCACACGTCGCCCTCCGTGTCTGGTGAGTGTGTCAGGGTGAGTGCGCGCCTTCCTTCACTGAAGTTGCACGAATTTGGAAAATGACTGTACACTGTGTACAGGCTTTTTCTGTGTCAAATTGACACAAAACACCGCGGCCTTTTTGAGTTAGATATGTACGATATGGCTAAATGCTATGCATTTACAATCGCTTATATATATCACATTGAGTGTGCATCCCAGCAGCTTTGCAGTTCCGTGCGGCTGATATGAAGTAAATCCAGAGCAGTTGTAAACTTTATTTCCGCTGTGTGCTGCGCGCCCGGGGAGCCGTCAAACACGGGCTGCTCTGTCATTCAGGAAGTCCACACGACTGACAGTGCCAAAGTCACACTGACCGGCTCGCACTTCAGCTCAATGATCGCCAAGTGTGCGTGCTTTACTACAAGGAGGATTTATTTACAAGGTATGCTTCTCTCCGTTTTATCCTGCTCTCGCTTATTCTTAGGGCTTAGCTCAGTGTTAGATCTCAAACATGGCACTTCCTTCTGCATGAAGCGCTTGTCACGAACAAGAGCTTTAGAAGAATCCAAATATAAAAATGTTATTAGAAAAGGCAAACTGCCGCATGTTTTGACATTGTTTGCGGTTACTGGCCGGACCGAGCGCAAGCAGCGTCTGCAGGAGGTTTAAAGTGCGTAGGTCTGCGATCTGAACAAAGTGTACGCTTATTGATTGATATCTACTTCTGCACCTGCTTTTATTTACGTTTCATTTGGATATTTTGATCTCGAGTCGACGCGACCATCACTTTGGCGTATTCCACAATGGGTGAGTGAAATATGAAGGGGTGACATGTTGCTTTCAAGTGTGTATGTTGAAGTAATGATCTGTCTTATTCTCTGAACTCTTCTATTGGGATATTTTCGCACTGTCATGCACTATGGGCACTATAGGCACTGTGCGTAAATGCTTCGCGCCGTATGGTTCGTTCCATCGTGTCATACATTGTTGTGAGTATAGGATTTTACTATCATTCAGTCACTACGGCTGTGACGACGCAACATCCACCACTACACATGGATCATTTACTACACACTATTTACTACGTCCTCTGGCACCTATTGGCAGGTATACTAGTCAAAATCCTCCTTCTTCTCCATGGCTCATAGTCGAATAATAAACATTGCGCAGTTAGTGCCATGCATTTTGGGTCTTAAAGTGGAAATAATTCCTGCATGCTGCTCTGTGACCCGTTTAACGACCAGCGTTCAAAGTAGAATGTGGGCTAACGTGACGCACACGACATGGCAGATGTAGATAGCAAGCTGAGCGCTAAAACCCAAGCTGACCTAACATGATGTCATCTCTTGTGACTGGAGCGCATGAGTGGGAGCCTGCACGTTGTTGTCCCCTCCATAGCTCCTTATAAAAGTAATAATAATAATAATAACATCCATACATTATAATACTATGGTGTTATCTTGTGTCATTAGACATATTCCTCGTATAGCCTGTTTAAAAGCATAATTGTATATGCATGCTATTGAGATTGGGCTGGATTTAAAGGCTTATTCAGTCATAAATGTGATTATATTTGCTTACTGTTGAAATTCTTGCTCTCATTTGCAAAAGTTCTGTCATGCCACAGAACTTGGCATTATTCTTTGCTTGTTATTTTTAAAATGTGTTGATGCTATACACACACACAGGGCATGAATTCAATCATGCACAATTATATCCTGCTATTGATCTAGCTATGCCAAAAAAAGACACATGGGGTTGAAGAGACGGGCTTGTTGTTCTTTGGCTTAAATATGCACAATTTTAATTTAATAAGTCAAGTATTTTCCCCGTGCCTGTGCGAGAGTTTGAACCATTAAAACAATTTGAAAGTTGAGATTGATCAAAATGAGGCAACATTTTGATGATCTGTGGCTCTAATTGACCTATTGTGCCTTGTACTGTCTTGCTGCAATGTTGTGTTAAACCTCATCACCATTGGCCTGACTCAGACATCACATTGTCCCAGTACAGACAGCACTGACAGTGAAAAGCTGCCGCACAATTCAAACTGTTTAGCTGTGACATTGTTAACAGTCCTTTTGTTTTGATGCCACCAATAAATACCTAAATATTTCTGAAAACAAAAATGTACTTGAGTTTCAGAGATAATTCTGGCATTACCTATAGAGTCATGACAATATACATTATAGGTCATATCTGGTGTTGATTTGTAAGCTTGAGCTCATGACTTTGCGCAAATGTATTTGAAGCCTGCAGTTTTTGCCGTGCCGATAAGTGCACATAGGAAAGGACACATCAGCTGCTCCTGACAATGCTGCGATGTGACTGCAGCAGATAGAGGGAAATGTTCAGGTTTGGGTGCAGACAAACTGACTCCAGTAAGGAACTGGTGTACTCTGCCTCAGGGATCAGACAGTATTGGCCTTATTCAGGTATTAAAATATTAAAGCCATTGTGGTTTCGAATTGGAAGATGTAGATGTTCTTTTCTTTGGCTTGCAGCTATGATTCACTTCCATTCGGCGGCTTCAGCTCACCACCATGCAGTGAGTGGATTGCATGCAAAATAAACAACCTTGTAGAGTGTATTTGTTACTCTCTGTGTGCATGTACAGTATATACTCTCCTGAGGCTATAAAGATTACTTATATTAATTGTATTATTGAGTACTTGTACTTATGAAATTGAATATGTAATCTTTCTCTACCAGATAAATGCATGATGCAGACGATCTGCTGTGTATAAAGCCCAAAGATATGGGAATACAGTATCCACGTCAATGGGCAGCTTTATAAATAGATTGCCATTTTGTGACTGGATTCAAGTGTATTTGTCACTTAAACGTGCATGGCATGCAGTGGAAGTCTTATGTACCTTCTAGCAGATATATCACAATACAGAGAATTGGGGCTCAGCCTGATTGAACCGTCTTATGGCCTCAGGGTAAAAGCTCCTTCTCATCCTCTCAGTTTTAACCTTGAGGAGACTCTACCACCTCCCAGATGGCAGCAGAGAAAACAGTCCATGATGGTGGCTGTCCTGTGCAATCCTCTGGGCTCTCCAGTCGCAGTGTTGGACATGAATGTCCTCCAGGCGAGGGAGGTCCTCTCTGCTGAGCACACTGCTCTCCTGAGGCCAGGCGGACGTGCTGAGTGCAGCCTCACATCCACAATAATGCTCTCAGTGGGACAAGTTTTTCATCACTATTGGTGGGAACATTCATGATATAGATTCAAACAGATCTATTACGCATACCCGCTCACAACAGCACCAGGCCAAAAACTGGTCAGGTCTGTGGAGGCGACTTCGTTCACTGTGAGAGTGACTGTCATTATCTGATTAATAAACTGTTAAACTGCCACATGGCCATATGGTCAGTTGTGTTGTAATGTTTCAATAAATACTGTTTGATCTGTTCTGGACTGATAAGAGTCTAAGTTTTCTACTGAAGTTACATCCCACAAGCGATATCTTCAAAATAAATGCATTATTTCTCTTGGACGAATCATGAATCGACGGACTCTCATTTGATATGCTAATTTCTCATACCTTTGTCCTTCCTTTATAGGTTTTTAACGGGTGTTTACCAGCTGCACATGCTTTTTAACCACAGGATGTAAAGGTTGCAGCAAGCGAGTTCTAGAGTTGTTATAGAGGTGACAGTGCTGTGCCGGTTCAGTGTTGACAGTTTGTGAGTTCTTGCTGTGCCCTGCTCACCTTTTTCACCATGGTTAGTTTGGAGAACCGATATTCATTAAAAATGAAATCTTATTACATAATTTTAAGTTAAAAAAAATTTCTAACTGTTGCTTTAACAAGAATGTGATGTTTGTATTTATGTATTTGTTTGTTTGAATGGGACAGTGCACATTAACCAACATGTAAATATAAAACAATATAGTACTCCTATGGCAGGTTGGGTGGATTAGAGGGACATTTTATCTTAATATGTTAGGTTCTCTGAGTATACAGTATCTATTAATTTTCTTTACTGTGTGAAAATTCAATGTTGTAAGAGCAGTAGCACCAAAAGGAGCACAACACCAAGATACAAAGCTGTGAATATGTAGAGAATACCTGAACTCTGTAACTATTATTACACTGAAAACATATAATATGCAAATTAGAAATACAAGGTTTGATGTCTTTGACTGTTTATGTATTTAGCGTCTTAAAAATAGCAGATAAAGTAATTTCTCAGTTAATTGTCAGTGGACAAGAATGTCTTTCATCGTCTTGCTGTTACTACAATATTGTTTATTGGATGTCAGTTGTGGTACATCATGGATGTCACTCATAGATGTACAGAATGGCTGATGCCGTCTTAGAGGGTCACAAGTCCAGTCATAATGAGAAGTATCATTGTCTAATATTATAAGAAAAAAGGCAAATGTGTAAGGGAACAACTCATTTCAATTAAACCTTGTTTAAATCCTTTTAGTTGACTGGGAGCCCATACTTACCTGTCATGAATATGCAGATTATATCTTACGTGAAACACATCAATAGGTTTGGCCCTCAACCCACTAATACTTATTCACTTTTCATACCCTAGAATTGCCAAGGAAAAAAGTACTCTCTTTGCAATAGACTTTTTCAAATGAAGTCAATAGTGAGTAAAATGCAAAACGATTAATTGCTCCAGCCCTATATGTCAGGTATTGTCAAAATGCGATATATGTATAATTTATACATGTCGATAATATGAGCCAATCAACTGGAATACATGTTTTAACACCTGCTGTGATAAAAATATGAGTCATCTGTACATTTGTTTCAGTTTAAGAGGGAACTAGCCAAAATACAGACACAATTAGCGGTAAAGGTTGAGTTACATACTAGCCTCAGAAGGCACCTGTTGAAAAGCCTAGTTTGAAGTTTTCTGCTGACTAATCCTCATGAATAGGAGCCACCCTTCTGCGCTGACAGCATAAACCTTCCCTCCACTTGCACGTGACGGAGGAGAATTTTGAAAAATACATTACAGCATAGACGGTTTATCCAGCGCTGCACAGTGTGGTGGTTTATGCCACAGAAGCAAAGCACATAAAATATTAAAGCACTTCTGTCAGGCTCAATGTTCTGCAGTGATCTGGTTTAGCATGTCTAATACCGGGATGGTGTCTCAAATGACAAGGAGAGTTATACCCTCCTCCCTCTCTCCTCTTGCAGATGTGTTCATGCATATTGCCTATAATAATGATGATTTCAAAGGATCGCTAAATTCTTGGTGATTTAGAATTTATTTCTTGAATCAAGCTATAGCCATGCAGTGCTGATATTTAAACACCTTTCAAAGCATAATGCAACAACTTCAATCTATTCAGAATTCATCCATCCATTTTCTTCCGCTTTATCCATTGCCGGGCAGCAGTCTAAGCAGAGACGCCCAGACTTCTCTATCCACACACACACTTCTTCCACTTCATCCGGGGGGGAT